AAAAATATTCAATAGATAGAATATATATATATATATATATATATTTTTTTTTAAATAGAGTTTTACTTTTTTGCCCTTGGTAGAGTGCTATGGCATCACAGCTCACAGTATCCTCAAACTCTTGGACTTAGGTGATTCTCTTGCCTTAGCCTCTCAAGTAGCTAGGACTACAGGTGCCCACCACAGTGCCTGGCTATTTTTAGAGACAAAGTCTTGCTGTGGCTCAGGCTGGTCTGGAACTTGTGGGCTCAGGTAATCCACCTGTCTCGGCCTCCCAGAGTGCTAAGATTACAGGTGCAAGCCACCTCACCGGGTCTAGATAGAGTAAAATCTAAACCAACATAATAGGAAAATGGATAATTAAAAGATAATAATATTAAGTGTAATACAAAGAGATTAAAGCTACAAAATATAAAGACAAGAGACATTGAGACACTACAATTTATATTCAGTAGGAGACAGAAGGGCGGTGCCTGTGGCTCAAAAGGGTAGGCCGCTGGCCCCATATGCTGGAGGTGGCAGGTTCAAACCCAGCCCTGGCCAAAAAAAAAAAAGAGAGAGAGAGACAGAAGAAAGTGATGAAGGGAATGGCAAAGAAGCAGTATTTAAGAAGTTATTGCCTGAAAATTTTCCGGAACTTACCAAAATGGAAGTCAGTCTAAAGTACTAAGCAAGATAAATAAAAACAAACCTACATGGTGGCTAACACCTGTAATTCTAACACTCTGAGATGCCAAGACAGGTGTATTTCTTGAGCTCATGAGTTCGAGACCAGCCTGAGCCAGAGCAGGACCCCATCTCTAAAAAAATAGCTTGGTATTGTGGTGGGCACCTATAGTCCCAGCTACTTGGGAGGCTGAGGCAAGAGTTTGAGGTTGCTGTGAGCTGAGACGCCACAGCATTCTACTGAGGGCAACATAGTGAGACTCTTGTCTCAAAAAAAAAAAAAAAAATTATGTATGTTTTACATTTTAAAAAGTTTTCTAATATTAAAAAGCTAAAAAGTAATATCAGAAAATGAGAAGGGTATGCATAAGTTATTTAAAGTATGCTTTGGTCTTCTGTCATTTAGAGAGTTATAAAGAAAATAAATAATTTTAGACATTTAAAAATGTGTAAATACTTACACTACTTTAAAAAAACAGTTTTGTTATGTTGAGCAGGCTAGATCCGAACTCCTGGGCTCAAGCAGTCTTCCACCTCAGCCTCCAAAGTAGCTGGGATTATAGGTGTATGCCAGCATGCCTAACAGTTTATATTAAATTGTACTAAAAGATTACAGATTCTGTCTGTGGCTTTCTAACTGAGAGGGCAGAAAATATTTTTTTTAAAGAAAAATTTAGGCTGGGTATAGTGACTCACACTTGTAATCCTGTGCTAATTCTGGGAGCCCTAGGTGGGTGGATTACCTGACTTTCCAGGTTTGAGACCAGCCTGAGCCAGAGCAAGACCTCATCTCTAAAAACAGCCAGGCATTGTGGCGAGTGCCTGTAGTCCCAGTTGCTTGGGAGGCTGAGGCAAAAAAATCACTTGAGCCCAAGAATTTGAGGTTGCTGTGAGCTGTGATGATATGGCACTCTTCCAAGGGCAACAAAAACAAAAAAAACTTTACTAGCACTTTTCTAGCACTAGGAGAAGAGGGGAAAAAGGCAAAGAAGGATGGTTCGTGGGAAAGATTAAATAAGATGTCAGAAGTTAATCAAATACATTAAAAATCACTTTTTAACATATAGAGACTATGAGGTTGGGTAAACAAACAAAATTCAGCTATCTACTACTTAACAAGAGACATGCCTAAAACAAAATGGTTCAGAAAGGTTAAATTTAAAGACATAAAGACATGCCAGAAAAATATTAATCAAAATAAAGCCAGTATTGCAATATTACAAGTATCAGACCAAAGGTCTAGACTTCTGAATAATTTATATAATACAGACTTTCAGTATTTCCAGTGTGACTAATTGCAAAGATATATATATATTCTACCTATTATTACCTACTTTAAAAAGCTTTTCTAAATCAACTATCACAAACATTTATGGAGTTATGTATGTGTTGTGTAATGTAGTAGAGACAAAAATGAGTACAACCTAAGTGCTTACTCCAGAGAATTTGCAGTTTAGCGGGAGAAAGAAGTCCAATTATTTAAAAACAAGACAGCAGCCAAGTACAGTATCTCACACCTATAATCCCGACAACTCGGGAAGCTGGGCTGGGAAAATAGCTTGAACCCAGGAGTTCAGGGCTGTAGAAGGCAATGGTCATGCATACATACATGCACCACAGTCTGGTGACAGAGTGAGATCCCTTCTCTTTTTTTGAGACAGAATCTTAACTTTGTCACCCTCAGTAGAGTGCCACGGCGTCACAACTGATAGCAACCTCAAACTCTTGGGCTAAAACGATTCTCTTGCCTCAGCCTCTCAAGTAGCTGGAACTATAGGCACCTACCACAATGCCCAGCTATTTGTTTAGAGATGAGGTCTTGCTCTGCCTCAGGGCAGCCTTGAACTCATGAACTCAGGCAATCCACCTACCTCCCAGAGTGCTAGGAATACAGGCATGAGCTACCTCACCCAGCCCAGTAACAGAGTGAGATTCCTTCTCTTAAAACATACATACATATAACAAAAAACAAGGCAGCAAATTGTGACCACCATTAGAGTTGTAAGTGAAATATGATGGAAATTGAAGTGAGATGATGGGAATTTGGCATAGGAGGTAGAATCAGTAAAAGACTTTACATGAAATACAGTATTTGAGATTGTCTGGTTTTTGTTTTTTTTTTCTTTTTGACAGAGCCTCACTCTGTTGCCCTGGGTAGAATGCTGTGGTGTCATAGCTCACAGCAACCTCAAACTCAAGCAATCCTCTTGTCTCAGACTCCTGAATAGCTGGGACTATAGGTACCTGCCACAACACCTGGCTAGCTTTCTATTTTTAGTAGAGATGAGTCTTACTCTTGCTCAGGCTGGTCTCAAACATCTGAGCTTAAGCAATCCTCCTGCCTCAGTCTCTCACAGTGCTAGGATTACAGGTGTGAGCTACCACAACATGCCTGAAATTGTTTTAGATAGTGAGGCGTAATCCTCACTATCACTAGTTACTTTACATACTAGACTATCACTTACACACTAGCATTTTCCTCTTAGGGTATGAAGTACACTTGGGTGGATAGTTTCTTACATTTAGGCTACAGTGTTATCATTTCAGACTTTATTTGCTAGAAATGTAGCCTACCGCATTTACCTTTAACAGCTCATTTGCTTTATTTCTCATTTTTCCTTCCTGAATTCAACAGCACAGCCATAAACTGCATGGTTAACACTTTCTTGCATTTTAAAAACTTCTTTTCTAATCCTTTGCCAGATGTTGTCCACATACTTCCACGTAGTGTTTTCTGCTAGTTTTTCATGAAGGAAGAAGAGTATATAATTTGATTTTTCATAAAACATTGTTACTATTAACAGGAAGAAACTAATTTTATCCTAAATGATAATGTACTATATTAAAAGCAGGTTAGACATGTCCCCCTGAAGTTGGTCTGGTACAGAGATGGGAAATGGAATAGATAGCTTCTGAATTTTCTTCCTGTTCAGAGATTCAGACCCCCCCCCTTAGATGGTCAACAAATGGAAACTGGCATTTGCAATTACCCTTTTCCCTCTATTCCTTGCCATCTTCAGTTTAACATCTGCTTCTCCACAAAGATTAACATGTTTTCCACTTATAATTTACTTGTCAGGAAATTTAGGAGTTTTCCGGAACCTGAAGTCTGCCCTGATAGGGATGATTACTGGATACTTGCCTATTCTTTGGTGGAGTTTCCATTTTTAGATTACTCCAGGCTCTACAGCCTTTATTTCTTTGGCAGGAGAAGCCAAAGGCAATGGAGTATATTTTTTCCCCTTCCCTGGCCCAGCTTAAACAGTGACTCACTTGAGCCCTGGAGCTTTGCTTTATACTCTCCTTAAGGGGCTACTTTCTACCCTTATTCTTTTTTTTTTTTTTTTTGAGACAGAGCCTCAAGCTGTCCCCCTGGGTAGAGTGCCATGGCATCACAGCTCACAGCAACCTCCAACTCCTGGGCTCAAGCGAGTCTCCTGCCTCCGCCTCCCAAGTAGCTGGGACCACAGGCGCCCGCCACAACGCCCGGCCACTTCTTGGTTGCAGCCGTCATTGTTGTTTGGCGGGTCCGGGCTGGGGATTCGAACCCGCCACCTTAGGTGTACGTGGCTGGCGCCCCAGCCGGTTGAGCTATAGGCACCGAGCCTCTACCCTTATTCTTATTATTTGCCTTCAGTGTTCTGTTTGGAACCTCTGTATTCCTTGGTGCATGGGGTTTGTCACTGAGGTTATTGTCAGGGAGATATGTAACCATTCCCAAACTGATATAGTTATGGCCCCATAAGCCATGTCATGCTGTGGCAGCTGGTATAGGTCAGGGGGAGTACAGAAAAAATATCTTTAAGGAAACATAATTCTAAATGGGGTAAAGGGAGAAGCATTTTCAAAAAAGACATGACTATCGGTATCATCTTGTTAAAGACCCAAAGATTTTCCTCTATGTAAGATGCTTTAGTAACTGGTTAAAACTTCCTCGGTGTGTACATGTGGGATATGAGAAGCACTCAGAGGAATTGAACTCCAGGAATTTTCAGAGGGATATGGTTGTATGTAGAAATTCCCCCATAGGACTATTGTTTAAGCAGGAATATCCAACCTTTTTTCCCCCTCTGCTGCACGTTGGAAGAGTAAGAGTTGTCTTGGACTACATAGCAAAGACATAAACACTAACAACAGCTGATTAGCAAAACAAAATCTGTGCATACTTTTCATAATATCAGCATGGACTGCAGGCTGCAGGACACCTCTGCAGAGTTTTGTTAGGGGGGGAAAATGATTTTCCCCTCTTTGGCAGTGGTTGTCCCTGGTCTCAATTTTTCGTTTTGATTCTAGCCTTCTGGATTCCATCTAATGATGATTTTTTGTATTTGCAGTTTTAACAGTGTATGCCAGGGAACTCACATTCTCTTTCGGGAATTCAGCTTCATCCAAGCCACCCCCCACAATAGAGCATCGTTTTTACGGGCCTTCTGGAGGTGCTTCCGAACTGTAGGCAAAAATGGTGGTAAGTCTTCCTAAATTCCTTTTTTTTTTTTTTAAAACTTCTTTCCTTTCTTTCAAACTTTTCCTTTGTCCTTATAAATACAGATTGAATACATGGTATTCAAGGCATTTGGAATACCTCAGTGGAAAGCTCAGTAAGTTCTTCATGTGGGATGAGAAAAGAATTTTTCTAAATCAAGATAAGGATATAAAAGTGTTGGGGTTTGGGAGTCCTGGTTCCCTGACCTAGGTGACCTTGTTCAATTACCTGGCTGAGCTAGAAAGTTCAATCGAGGCAGGGCAGTAATGGAGAGCAACAGTGAGTGGAAACTGAAGCAGCTCAGGCAGTGTGGATAGAAAGTAAAAGTCACCTACACAAGTTTCAGGGTGACAAAGAGAGATTTTATTTAGGAAAAACAAAGAGAAAGTTTAGAGCACTTCCAAAGAGGGTTGGAAGTGGGTCCCTCTCATGAAAGAGCAGAGGTGAGAGAGACCAGATGCAAAGGTCTCTAGCAGTATAGTATTCTCTGTTTGAAATTAGTTGTAAGTCTTTCATTGGCTTCTCTGCACCTCCAGGGATTATTGGCCTTTCCTACTGGTCATTGATTGTCTCTTTCTATTAGTTATTGGTCACTTTATATCCACATTTTTATGGGCCTTCTAGACTTCCAGGTTCAGCAGGCCAGGTTTTCCTTCCACTCCCACAAAGCCCCTTTCTTAGTGATCCTTCTCAAAAAGTATAAGTTTATTTTATCTTTTAGAAGGAGAGAGGGAATGAGAGAGGGGGAAAGAGTGGAGAAAGAGAGAGTTAAAAAGAAAGACAGAGTGGCATTCCAAAGAAAGAAAGCAAACCTGCCCTGAAGCTTAGTGGGCTGCTGAATTTAAGGGGGACAAAGGAAAAAAAAACAGCAATTGTAGCCAAATTCCCGAGGTATTGTGGATGTGAATGCTGTATCTGCTTTTCCTTCGGCCAGGTTAAAGACATACTTTTCCAGGTGTTTCTGATCCTGAGGCCTGGTGTTCATATACCATTTGTTCCCAGAGATAATCAGGAACACTTAAGGCTACAGAAACAAATTCTGAAAGACAGAGAGCTGATGAAATGTAAGGAGAAAGAATTTAAATTTCTTTTCTGTCTGTTTTTTGCTGTGGTTTGTGAAAAAGGAACTCCACTAAGGGCAGGGTGCTATTAGTAAGAATGCTAGGCAGAGAAAGAAAGCAGCCAGAGATTGATTTTAGTCCTTACTGAAAAAACCATGAGTTAATCTCTCTGTCATTTCACAATAAAGACCGACTATCCTTAAACTTACTTTTTGAAGAACTATCTGTCTTATGTCGGAGATATTATTACCACCACCATCATCACTAATGACATCTATTGAGAGCCAGGTATAGCTCTGAGCACTTTACATGTAGTAACTCATTTAATCTTCACAGCTGCTCTCTGTCGTAGATACTATAATCTCTATTTCATAACTAATGAAACCACGGATCAGAGGAGTTGAATAACTTGGCAAGGTTACATAGTAAGTGCCAGGCCCAGATTTATACCCATGCATTCTGGCTCCAGAGCCCTTACTCATGGCAAATATTAAAATACCATGCAGTAGATGCAAAAAATAATGTGAACACAAAGAAGGAAATTCCTGAATGGGGTATTGGGATAGGCATACTCTTGTTGGAGAAGAGGGTGAAAAATACATTGGGGATTCTCCTGATAATTGGCTGTTTGATCTAAGTTGGAAAGGAAAAGTAGGAATTATCCATATGGATAAAGGAGAAAAGGGCATTTAAGGTAGGTCATATGCTGAAGCATAAAAGAATGTAGAAGATTTAAGAAACAGAATATTAAGCTGAGCACAGTGGCTCTCACCTGTAATCCCAGCACTCTAGGAGATCAAGGCAGGAGTATTGCTTGAGGCCAGGAGTTTGAGACTAGCCTGGGCAAAATTGAAAGACTCTGTTTCCACAAGATAAAAATATTAGCCAGGCACAGTGGCACACGTCTGTAATACCAGCAACTTGGGACATTGAAACAGAAGGATTTCTTGAGCCCAGGAGTTCAAGGTTATAAGTGAGCTATGACTGAGCCATTGCACTCCAGCTTAGGTGACACAGCAAAACCCAGTCTCTACAGAAGGAAGGAAAGAAGAAAGAGAGGGAGAAGAAAAAAAAGGAAGGAAGGAAAGAAGCAAGGGAGGAAGGGAGTGGGGGAGGGAAAAAAAAGAAAGAAACAGAAGAGCAGAATAACTGGAGTTTGTGAAGGAGATTGGGGAGATGAACCTATAAAGGAATGAAAGGGCTCCTGAAAGATTATTTTTTGCCATAAAAACAAAGTTGGATTATACTCTTTGGGTATTATTTGAAGGCTTTTAGATATGAGAGTGGGGAGATGATATCTGAGTTCTAGAAAATCATTCAAAAGTCGGTGAAGACGATTGCCTAGATTGGGGGTGGGAACATAGACATCTTGGAGTAGTTTTGTGAGAGATAAGAGCCAAAACTAAGCAGTATCCATGCTGCTGGAAGGGGCACTTTCAGGGATATAATCCATAAATTTTGGTGATTGGATTTGGCATGTAAAGTGAATGAGAAGACCAGTGATAATTTCCAGGTTTCCGGCTTAGACATCATGTGAGAATATTAGAGGGGCAATAGATTTTGTTGTTGTTGTTGCCGGTGGGAATGTGGGTTTTTTTAAGTTGTGGTAAAATATGTATAACAGAAAATTTGCCATTTTAACCATTTTTAAATGTATAGTTCAGAGACATTAAATACAGTTGCATTGTTCTGCAACCATCCCCACCATCCATCTCCAGAACTTTTTCATCTTCCTAAAGTGAAAGTCTGTACCCACTAAAGACTCAGTCTGGCATGGTGGCTCACACCTGTTATCCTAGCACTCTGGGAGGCCAAGAGGGGTGGATTACCTGAGTTTAGGAGTTTGAGACCTCCGTCTGTACTAAAAATAGAAAAAAATAGCTGCATGTTGCTGTGGGCGCCTGTAGTCCTAGCTACTTGGCAGGGTGAGGCGGGATATCACTTGAACCCAGAAATTTGAGGCTGCTGTTGAGCTAGGCTGACACCACCTCACTCTAGCCTGGGCAATAGAGTGAGATTGTCTCAAAACAAACAAATAAAAAACCTAACTCTCCATTTCCTTCTACCTCCAACCCCTGGAAACCACCATTCTACTTTCTATCTCTGTGAATTGGACTATCTCTGTAAATTCAACTATCTTAAGAAATAGGGAAAGTAGGTATTATTGTGCTCACATTATAAGTAATGAAATTGTGTAACTTGTAGAAAGATTTCACAGTGGGTTGGTAGCAAAGCTGGAAATAGAACCCAGATTTACTAATGGCTCACGTACTGTTTCTACAATTTTTACTTCAATCACTCCTTCTTTGACATGTAACTCTAGAGATCATTCATCTCTATTACAGTATTTATGCAAGAAGTACTTAGTGTACTGAGGATAGCATATTTTCCTTTACAGAATAAACGCAGTAATAGGTATGATAAAAACTCATGTAGACCCAATTTTAAGTGATGTAGCTCAGAAAAACTATCCCATTGGTCTCTACATAAACAAAACTGGGAGCTATTAATGTATAGATGAAGTTTGTACTATTTTATTAGAACTCATCTTTTCCAATTCTTTCCAATTCCCTTATTCAGTCAGCAGATATTTGTTGAATACCTATTATAGTCATCCCTTGGTATATATGAAGATCAGTTCCAGGACTCCCAGGTATACCAAAATAAACACATACTTGAGTGCTACAGTCAGCCATTTGAAACCTACATATGTGAAAAGTTGGCCCTCCATATACATGGGTTTTGAATTCTGTATTTTCAATCCCTATTTAGTTAAAAAAAAATCCACATATAAATGAACCTATACAGTTCAATCCTAGGTTCAATGATCAACCCTGTATTGAAAAAATGGTATATACAGCTAGAGCTAGTTTCTATGATACAGCATATGGAGATAACCATGGAAAACAGTCTTCAGATAGCCTTAATTTTTTAGCTTCAATTTTTCCCCCTGATTTATAAGTGGGGCCTCTTTAAGAATTTATTTACTATCACAAGGGATTCACATAGCATTTAGACTCTTAGCAGATGTAGGTTTCTTTATCTTTCTAATAACAGTTGCCAGTGATTCATCCAGCTGCTGAGCAGCAGCAGCTCCAAGTTCTTCCTGTTTCTCCTGTGCTATAAACAAAACTTAGATTTTATACTGGATGTTTGTTGTTAGGCTTCTTAATCAAGTAAGAACCCACAGGTTGAGAACCACTGGTCTACATGATCCTAAAATCGTTGGTTAAGTAGTTTTAATATCTTCTCAGTTCGTTTCCAGGAAACTTCAGAACATCTTTCTGTCCCAGAATATGTCAATCCCCAATTTTTATCCAGAATGAATGAAACTTTGGAGGCAAGGTTCAAAAAGAATGGATTTATTAAGCCCTGTTTTTTTAAATTACAATGTCAAGTACCTACTCAATGGAGCTGCTACTATATTGCTTTTTTACAGATAACTTCCTTAGAAGATCATGTACACATTTGAACATTATCAAGAGGAAAGTAACTGTTCTGGGAGGTACCAAAAGAAGAGTAGAGCTTTAGCATAATATGTCTAAAAATGAAGCCATCTGTAGAAAACTCAGAGTCTAATCCCTTCTGACAAGAAACATTTTTTTCCAGTTTTTAGCAAGTATAGGGAGATTTAATGTATTTCTGTATAACTGAGTACTCAATGATGCTAATTTTCCTGTGTGTAAAGTTTAGGTAATCTCAGGAAAACTATAGTGAACCACTTGCTATCTAGGCAACTTTAGTTTTCTGGAAGCAAAAAGGTATACTGAAATGTAAACAGCCTTTTAAATTCAGCTTCTCACTTTGGTAATTCTTTCCATGTAAAAAGATTAATCTGAATTTTCCAAGTCTGGCAAAAATTGATATTCCCATAATATAAATCATTACTTTTGTTTAGGGATATTGAATCAACAGAGGCTT